CATAATAAACTATAAAACATTGCAAATAAATCAGATTCTTCTAATAAATTAACTAATTAAATAGCACAATATTATCTATGCATATATTATAGAAATTAAAAATCGGGTGACTCATAATGAATGTCTAGTTTTTGTATTTGTTTGTTTTTTAATATCTAGTAAGATGATATTAAAAATAAAATATACCATTAGATGAAGAGTAAAAACCCTATAATTTGCAAACAACTACTTATTCTATATATACATGTTTTGTTTTCAGAATAAACGAAATTCAGTACGATCAATTTTCGACGTTGTAAACATAATCATTTTTTTAATAAACGATTCATGCACTTTTTTATCTCATCAATGAAAGACAATCATATTCACTGACGAAAAATACTTCTCATTAGAGCATGTTTATACTCTAAGTCGACAAGAGGCAGACGAGTAAAGCGACAAAAACTAAAAGATTAAATATATAAGTTTGGTGAAACATTATCACATGAAAGTTATGTTCAAGTTGTTCTTATAAGTGAACAAGCTGAAGATTAATGTCTACTTGGTGATGATTTCATCTACCAATGAAACAACGTCATGCTACATACACATCAGGAATTATTGGCACGATGTGAAAATATTTCATGTACTTGAAAAACAATCACAGATGGCTGCCAAATAATCATGATCTCAAGGTTCTGAATTATTATGTGTAAGACGGTAATCTTATGTGCACCATCGAAAATTGGTCGCACAGAATTTTGTCCGTTTTGAAAATGAAGAGTGCATATGTAAAATAAGATTTTTAATGTAACTTTTAAAGTTTTTCAGAGAGTACATCTTATATTCATTATGGGTAACCCGTTACTTTCACTCGTTATACATCATATAATCGATCGCATATGAAAATGATGATAAATATTTAATATTCGATGGTTTGTTTTTATATCTTCTGAAAAACATTCTTTTTATTTCTTTTTTCTTTATATTGTTCATAATTAGACTTCTTGATATAATTATCAAAAATAATTATCTTTATTCTTGAACTATTTTCCATTACTTAAATTGAAATATAATCTATTGTTTATTAAAGGATTCATTTGTTTGATATAAGGAATCAAGAAAAGTTTTTTCTCGTCGTTCGTTCTTCTATATAAACATCATAAGGAATTTTAGTAATACTCTACAACAGGACATCGAAGAAAAAAAACGTGAAAGAAAAAAAAAGAATCTGAGAGAAAAGAAGAGCATTTCTCCAACGTCATTATCTTTTTGCATTAGTGCGGAAGGAAGTTGCTTCAATCTACATCCTGCAGCATTTTCTCGTCCTCTTCTTTTTTTTTTAAGCACACTGTTCTTATCTTTAATCTGATAGTCTTTTTGATATTATTCTACTGTGATACTTCAGCCTAATTATTTAGAAAAATTCTTCGTGATGAAAGGACGTTATTGTTGTATTCGATTATTTCGTATATTTATTATATTATTGACAATTTGTATTTTATTATTATGGTTAATACCATTAGTAGTATTTAATTTCAATAATGAAAAAATTGAGATAATAGTATATAATGAAAATTTTCTGGACAATCATTTATATCCACCACCATGGTATATATTAAATTGGACAATAAATGATTATTTTATTCGAAAAGATATTTTTAAAAAAATTGAAGATCAATATGCAATAAATAAGAAACAAAAAATAGTTGTTGAACATGATTTTTTCAATCAAAAGAAAAGAAAAAAAACAAATTATATAATCCTTGAATATACAACGGTTTTTAATGAACCAAAATTTTGTGGAAAATCACAAGATTTTATTTTTGGTAAACAATGTCCATATCGAAATTGCAGGTAAAACTATGTTTCATTCAAAATACACAACATTTTAGAAAATCCATGAAGAAAAATAAACGTAAATAGTTCAAGAAATTTTCATGATTTTTTTATTAATTAAAATTTATTATTCAAAGTTTTATCTGATATATGCTAGATAAAAATCTCTTTATCGATGACTAATACAATAAAACATAATATTTTGGATAACCGAATTCAAAAAAATGAATATAAAAATCTAGATGAAAGTCGCTAGAGATAATTAGTTGTCATGTTCGTTATACACATCAAAAGTATTATGTTCGAACGTCGATCTTAACTAGTTATATACTAACCTTAGGCAAGTGATTTACTGATCACCGGCTTATCCAGAACTATAGTTTGATGACTATTCAAGAGATGAGCGACCACTTCTGCAGATTATTACGTCTAGAAAAAAACCGTATTGAGCTTATCGAAATTCTTTTTAATAACACTCGAAATCGACAACGATAACCGCACGATGATATTTCCTCTTATTTTTTTTTTTCAAACTAAATGAATATCATGTCAGAGTCAAGTCTAAACGCTTCAATAAAATTGACAATATCGAAAATGAACTATACTCTGTTATATTTCTAATAATCATTGAGGAAAAAGTTGATAAAATTCATGATGCTTACACAATATCTTGTAATATCGCACACTTAATATAGATGGAGCATCGTTTTTTAAAGCTGTTCTGATTACGATTTACTCAACAGCTCTACAAAGAATTACAAATTGTGTTAAGATGAATCAAGTTTGATTAACATCAAATAGCAAGAAAACAAAAGAATATTTTTAACATTAAACATTTGACAAACATACATACCATGAAAATCATTGTCGTTGAGTCATTGCTTGATGATCTAATAGAAAAGGATAATGATATTTTCCTAAAAATGTAATTAATTTATATTTAGATATACATGTGATCGAAACTCGTCAACATTTGCCGATGTTTTATTAATGCATCGATCTGATATTCATTTTGATCAATTACCAATCGAACGTAATCCAGAACAAATTTGGTTATATTGGCATGATGAACCCGGTGGTGTTCAAAACCAAGCTATTTCTTATCAATTCAATTGGACTATATCATATCGTTTTAATGCTGAAGTTAATATAGGTGCTTATGGTTTAACTATTCTTCGTAATAAACCATTATCATTTAAAGAAGTTAATTCTTATATAAATGAACAATTTAGTAATCGGCAGCCGTATGCCGTATGGTTTGTTAGTAATTGTAAACCAAAAGCTCGTCTTTATTATTATGATCAACTTCATTTATATTATCCATCAATAAAAGTTTATGGAGATTGTGTTTTACAAAATAAAACAAACCATTGTCATCGTCATTCTCATTGTGAAACTTTTGAACTTTCGAAAAATAAATTTTATTTAGCATTTGAATCACAATCATGTCGAGATTATATAACGGAAAAATTTTGGCGTTCACTTGCTTATGGTACAATTCCGATTGTATTTGGACCACACGATAAACAATCAGTAGAAAAAATAGCTCCACCTAATTCATTTATTTATACTGGTGACTTTATATCGGTATCAAAACTTGCAGAATATTTAAATGAAATTGGTCGAAATCGAACGTTATTTGGAGAATATCATCAATGGCGTCGTTTTTATCAAGTTCTTCATCGGCCAGAAGATATTGAACATTATCGTTTTTGTGAACTTTGTTATCGATTAAATACAAATGAAAATAGAATTTATTATCAAGATATAAATAAATTTTTTCTAGAACAATGTTAATTTATGTATAAAAGTAAATAATTATTAAAATAAAATTAATGATCAAAAAAAAGAACTTAAATTGTTAAAATAATATCTAATATTCTCAAATAATTTAATTTATAAAATCTAACTAATTTCATCTTTTGAAATTTAAACTTTTCTTTGATAATATTCCAAAGTTATTTCTCAGTGAAAAACTCTTTTATTTCTTCCATCTTATTTTTATTTCATTAAAACAAAACTTATTCATTATTCATTGAATGTTGACATGTCAATAATACGTCTGTTAATATTAGAGAGTAATGCATAAATTTTCACGAGTACAAATAAACTTACTAGCAGACCTTTTCCCTACTTCTCTTATGAATTTATTATGGCACTCGTGTTTACTTTTCTTTCAATAGAAAAAAAAAACTTGTTAACGTAGTCTCTTTGCAATAGAAATGTTAGGCTGGCATGACTTCTTTAGCTTCATTATGCTAATAGAAAATACACAAAATATAAAATCTCTAAGAGATGATAGTTCTTTTCCAAATGGTGATCGATTGTCAGCAAACGCTCTATTTTTTATTTCTACATTTCGTATAGAAATTTTGTTTTCTTTTTTTTTATGGATGTCCTATTTTTCGTTAGCATTGTTATTATTCGCTTGTTATTTTTCATTTTCTCTTTTCCACTTCAATAATTATTTGACATGTGTGAAGTATCCCGAATTAATATTATCTTAAATATATTTAACAAATAAATTACAATTTTGTTCTGATTTGTATTAAAATGTCATAAAAGAAAAAGTCTTATCTTTATCTTCTTTTTACCTATGAACTAAATGTAATGTTTTTACTATAGTAAAAGTTGATGTCAATCATTTGAAAAATTCCTATAGAGCTTTTTCAAATAAAATCGACCATCTTTTGTCAAAGTTCAATAGACCATGTTCTGAATACAACATGAATCGAAGAAATTCATTCAATAAAATTGTTTTATAAGTTTGCATATGTTCTGTACTATAAATGCTATTTATTTTGACTAATGAGAAAAATAAATAGCAATTGCCAACCAAAATCAGGCAAAGCATTTTATGTATAGAATATTAGAAACAAAAATCCTCGAAGATGTCATCCTTTTGTGTTCTTCTTGTGTGAACACTTTTAATTGACAGATACAAAGAATTGATCTGAAAAAATACTATTATAGATAAGCTACATATTGATGAAACATCTAAAGTTCAAATAGTTAAGTAATTGTGAAGATCTATTGTATACAAGCTCATTTCATCAGTTATACAATCAATTTTGAATGGAACCAAACTACATATCGTTTGATTTCTCTTTAAAATTGTTATCTCTATTATTGATTCTCTTTTGTCGTTTTCAATCATTTCATTCCATATGAATAGATCTATTTTATTTAGATAATATAAAATCAAAAGTACGATGAATACATGTATAAGGAAAATAGTTTTTGATATGATATTCATCGATTTGATCCACTGGATCAAAAAGTAGAGCAGCAAGTTTTGTACAATTATTTCCTGTCATATATCTTGTAAAACAGTATGTCACTCTTTCTAGTGATTCATAATCAACACGAAGATGAAGATTATTTGGCAAAGACATTTTCATATTAAATAAAAATAGTTGAACATAATCATCATAAGTATAAGAAAGATCCAGTCGAGTAAGATTGGGATATTCAATAATTGATAATATTTTATTATCATTATTTGATTTTATTTGTTGTACTTCTCGATTCATTATTGTTAATTGTTTCATAAATGGAAATGATTTCGAAATTCGAAGAAAAAATTCATGTTCAAATGGATGTTCATCACGTAACAATACTTGAGTAACACAAGTAAATAATCCATCTCGAAAATTATTTGTTATATGATCGTAAATTTTCCATTGATATGGATATGAATAAATATGACATCGACTATATCTTTGCAAATGATCAATACAAGTAGTTATTTGATTATTAGAAAAATATTTAAATGTTTTTTCAATAGATTCATTTAATGGGAAAATAGTTTGATAACGATGATTAATGCTTGAGGAAATATTAAATGTGAATTTATATAATTGTGCCATATGAATCATAATATCTTTCTTCAATATATCACCATCAATAAATTTTTCATAACACTGAGCTGTAATATTTAAATCAAGTTCTTCTAAATTTATCATTCGACGTAGAAGTGGCACAACTGATTCATTAAAATCCTCTATAAATATTCCATGATCGCAACACAAAGAAAAAATTCGCAAATTTGGTAATAAGTTTTGCTGAAAATGAAAACAAATATGAGCTCATTTAAACAAACAAAATATAATAAAAATAACTTGCATTTCTTTCTTTGTTGAAACACAAAGCCCTAATACAATAAAAGTTAATATAAAGTATACAAAGTTGATCAAAACGTCCATCAAGTATTTCAAGACAGTCCATCATATCAAACACATTGACATGTAATTCTAATAAAGTCGCGGAGATAGCAGTTTCAGGTAAAATAATTCTAACAAATACACCGTCACGAAAAGATGAAGATGAATTGAATTTTAAGCATCGTAAATTAGTAAATATAGTCCAAATTTTTTGTAAATATAGATTCATAGATATGGCTCTTTGAAAACGAATCGTTTTCTTTATTAAAAAAATTGATAAAGAGTGATGAAATTTGATTGTTGAATATATGAATTAGAGGATTTGTATCTAAATAAAGTTTTAAAGTTAACGATAAAAATATATCTCATATCTATTTCTGTTCATTGATAAAACTATCTAAGATGAACATTCTCATTCTATATGTGATGTTTTCGTTTTTTTCAATTCTCTCATAGATTACATTGTATATGATGAATGTTGTTTTCTATCTCACTCATTTATATTATTGATTTTCTTCTAGATTTTCTATACTGTCTCTATTAATCTTGAAAAATTTCAATCGAATTTATTATCAATATCTTTGTTTTTACTTATAAAAATGAGGAACGATTAAATTCTTTTTCTTATAATGATGTACCTATAAAGAATATGTTTTATATAGTAAATGTTTATTTATGAATATTTCATTCTATTAGTTATATGTTCAAAATAAATTATTTTGTTTTTCAATAACTAATTAAAATTCTACAATGAAATCAATTAAAGAAAGTCTCTTACCAGAAAAGAAAGACATAGCCAGTTTGTCGTCAATATCACATAAACCAAGATTATTTAAATTAGGATAATTTGTAGCATGAAGAACACGTTCTATCGATGTTCCTTCAAGATAGAGAGTTTCAATTTGATGTCCAATTTCAGGTAAAATTGTTGAACAAAATCGATTAAGTATTGAATCTGATAATGGAAGGGAAGAATCGTCGATTCGACAATATTCCAGTAAACGCAAATGACGAGTAAAAGTTCTATCATGTGCAATTCTATTGATTCGTTGATTGACACCCATTAAAGAATAAAGTACTTCATGATTGTACAATTTTTTAAATATATACGTAAGAATTTCATACGGTAAACCATCTAACTGAACCAATAAATCTTTCATATTTATTCCCCTACACAATATGTACTTTTCTAAGACTATATATATGTGTTGGATACATTGATTTTAATTGACCGATATCGTCGTCAATGAAAACAATGATATTCTTTTCAATGGACTGTCTTGAAATACTTGATGGACGTTTTGATCAACTTTGTATACTTTATATTAACTTTTATTGTATTAGGGCTTTGTG